GAGCGTGTAGTCCGTGCGCACGTAGCGCGCGCCCCAGAACAGCGTGCCCTTCCGCTTCCGCAGCACCACGCAGAACGGGTGGAAGCGCTTGAAGTCGATGAGGCTGTCCAGTGGCGTCAGGTCCCCTCGGGGGTTCAGCTGTCTGGCCAGGGCCCGGGTGACGTTTTCGAACATGGTCATTGTCGCTGTGGGGGGGGGTGAGGCTGTCAGGGTGGCTGCCTGGAATCTTCATTTTATGATGAGGAAACTCTGACTCCAAAATTCATATGAGCTGGGCTTGGTTGCACAGGCCCGTTATCCCAGCACTCGGTAAACTGAGGCAGGAGCATCGCTGTGAGTTCGAGGCCAGCCTGGGCTACATAGTTCAAAGTTAGCCCGAACTCCAGATTGAGACCCTGTCTCAAAAAACCAGAACCAAGCCACACGAAACAAAACCAGCTCAATTCGGGCCACCTCTGATGACCCCTTCCCTCCCTCTGGGCCTCCGGATGCCACCTGTGCCTCCAGAGCCTGCGGCCCACCCTGTCTGAAACACCTGCCACCTGTGTGGTTAGGCTCTGCACACCTGACTCTGGCCCACGCACTTGTGATTCCCCGAGGGCAGGAAATGGGGCTGAGTCACCCCCGAAGCGCTGCACAGTCGGAGCTCAGCAAATACCACAGAAGGGATGGAATGGATGAAGGCAGCCCCGGGACAGCCTGAGCCTCGGGTACCCTCAGGTCTGTCTCCGAAGTTCGCATCCAGGTCCGCCTGGGTGGCCGGGCACACCCAGATTACCCTGTGGGTGGGAGATGGCACCCCTCTGCTGGCTCCTAATTTCTACCCCCGACCCTGGGAGGCCAGGCCAGGGTAGGATGGCCTCACACTCCCCAGGTCCCCCAGGATACCTGCCTGCTAGATTCTCGGGAGCCCCACACCCTTCTACCTCACCTGTCTACCCAGGGTCCCCGAATGCCGCCTGCCTGTCTCACCAGGAGTGATGCTGGGTCCTGTGGCGGCTGGTGTGGAGTGAGGACCTGGTCCTTCTGTCTGCAGGTTCACAGGATGACCGTCCTCTGCCAGGCCAGGTGGCTTTATCCTGTGCAGAGATAGGGACTTGACCTCAGGCCCCGCCCCCTTCCGAGAGAACAGCATCAACCTGTTCCAGGTGCTGCCCTGCCCCTGGCCCTGGCCTCTTTTGGCCAAGGGGGTGGGTGGGGAGCTGCTTCGCAGGAGGCAGCGTAGGTGGGGCAGCCTGGGCTGGCAGAGAAATGGCAGCCAGATTGGCTTGTGGACACCTTAGTGGGTATAGAGAAGGGCCGCGAACTGGGGTGCATGTCACATGCACGCGTGTCTGAGTGTTCGCATGATGGAGGCCTGTATCCCTGTTCTGTTGTCCTCTTGATGATCTACCATGGGGCATCTGGGAATCACAGCAAACCTGCGGGCAGGATAAGGGACAGGACATCCTTTTCTTGTGCTGTTGGTGTTTGAGGCAGGGTCTGGCTATGTAGCCCGGGCTGGCCTCGAACTCCTGGCTGTCCTGCCTCAGCCTCCCGAGTGTTGGGTTTATGAGGGCGTTCCACCACGCCTGACCTTTTGTGCTGTTCAGTGCCCCCACCTCTGCCTTTCCTGGGATACCAGGTAGACCACACCCAGACACAGAGGCAAGAGGTCCAGTGTGACAGGTTTGGAAACGCCCAACATGCAATCATGGTCTCAGCATGTCCTACAGGTCCCATGCTTTATCTCCAGTCTCTGCCTAGAAAGAATCCGAAAGGAGAGCTTGCCAGGTGCAGTGGCGCACGCCTGCCATCCCAGCACTCTGGAGGCTGAGGCAGGAGGATGGCTGTGAGCTCGAGGCCAGCTTGGGTACGTAATGAGTTGACTGTGTCCCAAAAAATCCAAAATAAGTAAATAAGGGGCTGGAGGCGGACAGGGAGATGAGCTCATGCCCCAGTCCAATCAGTGAAACCCTCAAATCTCTCTTCTGTCCTTGGCCTCATCCACAGGACTGAGGCCTCTGTGTAGCTCTTCCTTAGGTCGTAAAACAAAAGAAATACTTGCCCCGCCTCTCTGGTTCCTGTGCTTTATCCTTCTGGTTGCATTCTTTCCTACCTACTCCATACCCTCCTTTTGGGGTGGTGGGGATCAAACCCATGACCTTACACATGCTAAGCAAGTGCTCCACCAGTAGGCCACATCATCAGCCCTTTAAAAAAAACAAACTAAAACTTAATTTTTCTCAGGCTGGCCTCGAATTTGTGATCCTCCTGCCTCAGCCTCCCTGAGTGCTGGGATCACAGGCGTGCGCCACCATGGCCGGCCCGGACCCACAAGCCTCACCCCTTCCTTCTCTTGCTTTCCTTTATCCGCTCTGACCTCTCCACTAGTCCGTCCCACCAGGCCTCCACCCTGGGTACCATTCTCCCAAATTTCCCGACAGTGCTGTAAGCTCGGGGCTCGGAGGGTTCAAGGTCCCAGAAGCTGGTTTAAGTTCAAGGGACTTTTGGACCGGATTTAAATTGTACTGAAGAAATTCAAGCAGGCGGTCAGATTCACGCACCGGCAGGCCTTGCTCTCCGCCGCCCTCTGGCGGCCAGTCGAGGTAAGCGATCGGAGCTCGTCATTCTTGATTGGCTTCCAATCCTGTAATTTGTGCGAGGGTTACCAGCAGACCGGCCCGAAGGCGAACTGAATCAGAGGAAGAAGCCCAGCCACCTGCTCTTTGGGGATGTTAAGGTCTCTCCGATACACACACACTGTTCTGCAGACAGACACAGAGTTCTTCTCTTTCTCTCCCTCTACTTGTTCTTCTTAAGAGTGTGTTTCACTCGGTAGCCCAGGCTAGCCTTGAACTCACAGTGATCCTCCTGCTTCAGCCTCCCAAGTGCTGGGATACAGGCATGTGTCACCATGCCCAATTCCTTCTCAATCTTTCTCTTCTCTCTCTCTTTCTGTATTGAGGATTTAATCCAAGATCTTTGTATTGAGCTACATCCCCAGCCCTTTTGCAGTCCTCCTGTCTCAGCCTCCCAGAGTGCTGCAGTTATGCCTGGCTCAATCTTTTTCCTTCCTTTCCTCTCTTCCTTCCCAGTGCTGGGGATCAAACCCAGGGCTTCACACATGCTAAGCAAGTGCCCTACCATTGAGCCACACCCCTAGCCCTCCTTACTCTTTATTTTTATTTTGTTCTGGTACCAGGGATTGAACTCAGGACCTTGGTCTTGCCAGGCAGGTGTGGTACCTCTGAGCTAAATCCCCAGCCACATACTCCTTTTTTATTTATCCCCTAAAAATGTTTAGGTTTCCTTCCAAATTCCTTCACTGGCTTTGGATCCCACGCTATTCTTGAGCTCCTGGCTGAGCAGAGACATTGACATTCAGTTCAAAGTGCACCAAACTCCCATGAGACCTCAGCGTCCACCCCTGGGGGGGCTGGTCAGAGGCCCCTGCCCCCATCAGCTGGTCTCCCACACTGGCCCAGAGCTGTCCTCATTGCGACCAATGGGACTTGGCTCCCAGATCCTCGGTACAGAACCTTCATCCCAGCCGCAGCACTCAGGCTATGCAAAGCTTGGAGCAGAAGCACCTTCCTTTTTTTACCCTGCTCTCCCAGACTTGTCCCCAAGCCCCATCCTGCTTTCCCAAGCCATGGCCAAGCCAGGCCTGGGGACCCTTGGTGGACAAAATGTCAGGAGAGCCAGTGACTGTTGCCCGAGACCCCAAATGTGGAGTGGTCAGAGAGCACAGAGCCGGGAAGAGGCTTTCACTCCTGCGGGAGGGGAATGTGTCCCCTTGTATGTCAAGGCCACACAAAGTCCCGTCAGGGTGTGGCCCACTGACTCCTGGGACCAAAAGCCATAGAGCAGCTCAGAGTGAAAACAGCAGGGCCCTGCCTGCCCTAGGGGGAAGTTCTGGCCCTTTGGCCTCCATATGCACAGCAGGGGAAAATCATCCCAGGATGCTGTGCAGCAATTTGAGCAGTAAAAATTTAAATTTAAACTGGGCACCATGGGGCACATCTGTCATCCCAGCTTCTGGGGAGGCCGAGGCAAGAGAATCTCCCTACGTTTGGCAATTTAGGGAGAACTGTCTCAGAATAGAATAAAAAGTGGGCAAGGAGTGTAGCTCAGTGGTAGATCGCTTGCCTGGCGTGGGTGGGGCCCTGGGTTCGTCTTCAGTACAAAAATCACCTTTTTCTACATTTACAACCCTCCCCACAGCCTGTTAACGCCAGAGTGGAATCTGAGATGTTGGTTCTGTGGTCGGTGGGTGCTTCGGGCCTGCAGAAAGTCCCTCAAGATCTGGGGGCCTCGGGTGCACAGCCATGAGTGAGCGTGGGAGAGGCCTGGGCGAGCTCCTAAGCAGTTTTGCCCTAGTTGCCAGCCCTGTCCCGGGAGTGTCTCCTCGCCCAGCCCGCTCAGCCCACAGCTGTTGTTTCTAGCCCAGCTCTGCAGGGGTGAAGAAGGGAGGCCTGAGGGCCAGGGGCTGCAGTCTCCCTGCGGGCCGGGATTTTAAGGTAGCTCTCTGCCCTCTCCGGGCATCTCCAGTGACAATGCTTCGCAACTTTTGAGGAAGAGCTCCGCTTTCCATTTTTCAGGACTCAGGCGAAACAGGGCCTCACCTGATCGGACCCGGGAGGTGGAGGGTGCCCCAGCCAGTCGGGTGGACTTGGCTAGAAGTCTCCGAGCCCCGGGCCCAGGATCAGCGGCTCCGTGAGATCCGGGACCCTGTGAACGCCAAGAGCTATCGAGATCCCGAGCAGTTAGAGGCGGAGCGTCCTGGGAGGAGTGGCCATCTCCTCAGGGCAAGCCCGGGTCTCTTCTGCAGGCGAAAGCCGGGTGGACCCGAGGGGCCCAG